TGATCCCTACCACAGTTTCGACAGTGTGCTTTACCGTTACATTTGTGCTCTTTACTCGAAACAACTTCAAGGCTGCACACTTTACAACATTCATTTTCCTGCTTACAATCCTTTTTGAAGTGACCGTATTTGTGACATTTAGTGCAAATAAGCACCTTAGGAGTTGAGAAGTATTCTTTCACTTTCACAACTATGTTACCTGCACGAACTTTTCCTGATTGCTTACAGTTTTTATAGTCATCACTCGAACGAAAATCAATTCGTACATTTTTACTTGTTGTTGACTTGAATGTGGGCTGACTTACACCCGCACAAATTGACGGCCACGTTTGCTGTATTTCTTGAACGAGATGTTCAACGTTCATCGCTATCGGTACGCCAAGTATCAACAGTGAAAGCAGTCGAGGAATCTTTTTCGGATATTCCACTTTGAAATTGTAACTACCAATTAGTCTTGGGTACACTCGTTCGTCAAGCAATTGTGAAAACGTTTCTCTGTCGCCGGCGAACAACAAGAGATTCCCAGATCTAATTCTCCAATACGCTATATTGGACTCAGCTACATCGGGCAAACGAAATTCATCGAGAAATCTGGTAACAATAGGTCCAGTCAAGTTGGGCATCTGATTGTTAGTCGTAAGCGGTATAATTTTGATCGGTGGAAAAGCAAACGAACAAGCATATCGTTCTGCTGCATTCGACACATTTTCTGATGGAGCCGAATGTGGCAGAGATTCCGGATAAGCAGACGGTGTAGTATCCGTACTTGTGGCAGACGGAAGAGGTACCACTCTTCTACGTTTTTTCGTTCGTTTAACAACAATCACATTTGGATCTGATGCAAATTCTTCCGTTGCCTTCTTGTCTTCTTTCATCATCGAATCCAAACGTGTTTGTAACGATTTAGTTATTTCTTTGACTCTATCCACAAACTTTTGACATTTAATCGTGTCATTAAGGAGTTGTTCATAGTCTGGACTTTTGTCTGTGAATAAGTGAAGATTTTCTGCCGAATCAGATTCGGAAAGTATTTGCATAATTTTCATAACCCCAGTTTTGATAGTAAAATCAGAATATGGAATAAAAAGTATATGTCAATTTTTCACTCGTGACTTGATTTCTTGATGGGCCGGCGGACCTTCTTTTAATGTGTTAAGATTATGTTTAATTTCTGCTGCATGATTTATAATACCACGTACAGTAGACACTATTTGACCTAAATGAAAAATTGCGTGTCACAAGTAAAAAATCATAATTAGATTGCAATTACGCTGCGCACAAGTTGCGATGTCGACAGACTTTCACTATACCATCATGAAATGCCGCATATCTGTCTAAGCAATTCAACTTCATCCCCTCATTCAGACAACTGAGTAATTGTGAAGGAAGCACATTTTTTTAAAACACATACCACGCTCATCTTCGAAATTAAATGTTAAATAATTGGATAATTGACTATAATTACGCACTGACTGATATAAATGTTTTAAAGTGTATATATTTTGAATGCTATGACGTTTCGTGTACAGTTCCTGAAAACGATAGAGAAATTCTGCTGCCAAGAATGTCAGAACTTCAATTTGTACTTGGTTAAGATTTCTCGACTCCGTGATATCTGCCGTGAACACCAACAACATAAAATGATCACAATATTGTTTTTTCGACACATGAGAAAATGCAGTGAATCCGAAAAGTAGAAGTAGACGAAGATCAATAACTTTGTATCGATTATATTCATTGAATGATCGAGGAGTACGTGATGTTGTAGATGGGGAACAATACTTTCGAACGATGATACTGAGGACGGCATGAATCATGCCGTCCTCAGTAACATGAAAACTGATCCTGCCGCATGATCAGTCTTCATTTCGATGTTCAGCATCGAACCAAAGGCGCAATAATCTTTTCTATAATAGTAAAGAGAAAAGACTGCAGATTAGAATAGAAAATTTCGAGTGCAATTCGCTAAAAAGAGTGTTACACTGCTATGATTTTCGCGATAATCCGACTACACTTTTTCATAGAATGAAAACAGTTTGCATGAAGCGATCACTTATGAAAATTTCTCTGTATAAATTGTGCAAAGAATCGATGACAATGAACGTCCTACATCGAAATATTCTAAGGATCTTAAAGCACATGGGCCTAAATGTTCACATCTAGAGTAGAATTCTATCTTTCCTTCCATGACACTTTTTCAATGGGGAAAGCACGAAATCCTGGAATCCCACGGAATCTCACGGCATCCAATGGAGTCCGGTGGAATCCAATGGAGTCCGGTGGAATCCAATGGAGTCCGGTGGAATTCAATGGAGTCCTGAATTCTAGGATTTCGCACTTCTCCCATAATAGAACAAAAGTGTTCTGTATTTTGGAAAACAGTTCCCAAAACAGAACATTCTTGTTTTGTTTTGGGGAAGAGTTCTATGGAATCCAAGGGAATCCTGAGGAATCCTAGAGAATTCTTGGAATCCTAAAGAATAATAAGGAATCCAGGAGAATTCAGGATTCCAGGATTCCGTGCTTTCCCCCCTGCACTTTTTTTAGTGTTCACTTCCTTTGTACGGTATTTTTATTCTTGTTTTCGTGGTAAGAATTATTGGTTTTTAGTGCTGTTCAGGCTCTTCCGGTGATCGCATAGGAAATACTCAAATAGTATGATGCGCATTGGCACCGGACGGTTCAAGTTCTCCTAAAATGCGATCGAAAACCAATGAGAATGAATAAAGTATAACTAATAAAATCCAAAGCCTTCATTACCTTCCAACATGCACTTTCCACAACCGAAGTTCATTATACTCAGTTAAGTTTTGCACCAAAGACGGTGTCGGTTTGTCCGATGAAACACCAATGTCATGGAGACTTTCCCTTTCCGCGAAAAAGAAAATGCCACTTTTTCCTTGCACATGAACTCTAGGTCTGTTTCTCGCATTTTCCCATGGGAAAATGTTTTACACGTCTCTAGGTGTCTAGGTTTTTAGGTTTCTTTCATTTTTCCATTGGAAAATATTTCTAAAATTTTCTGAAACTGTACTATTCAGGAATGGCAGGATTTCAGAATTCAGGATCAAACTCTTATAGTAGTCGGGAATTCGAGGATCCTGGTGTTATTCGACAACTATACTATTCTGGAAATCCACGATATCAGTATTCGAGGATCAGGCTGTTATAGTATTCGAAAATTCCACAACTGCAGTATTCGAGAATTTCAGGATTCAAACAGTATTTCTCATCCTTCCCGTCCGCTACATTCTGTGTACTGATACAATATTGCAGACAGCATCAACGTTGGTGAAATGTGTGTACCCGAAACCACCAGAAGAATACTTCAGATTGGTGAATTGAATGTTGTTTGGTTATTCACTCTCACCAACCCCCCTGTGGCTGCTCACGTAGGCCCTTCTCTACGAGCTTGCACAAAGTAAATCCCAGATGATATTCCCAGCACAACACAGTATAATTATTATATCACAATAAAAATAGCAACTCATTTTTATAATATGAATATATTCACAATAAAGTGAATAATAGTTTTAGTCTTCTTTTTGTAATAATAATAATGGTGATGTTGTTGTTCCTACCTCTTGTGTAAGGTGATTGTGCATGAATTAAATCGAGTTGATGGTTTCGATAGGAGGAGGAGTAAAAGAAATTCGCAAATGAAACGAAAATGGACTAACTTAAATTAAGTTAAAGAAAACCGATTCGTACTAAATAATATCATATGAAAAATAAATTTCTTCTTCTTTTATTTGAATGATAAAAGAAAAAGAATAAGAAAAACTTAAATGAAAGAAAAACCGAAAACTCTACGTTCTGAAAAGTAAAGTGAAAAGAAAAGGTTTCAATGTTTTGAGAAAAGTAACAAAAGTCCTTCTTCTGAACGAAACAAGGTCCGATTACGACTCGTTTTTCGTGTAGTGCGGAAACAGAAATTAATTCTTAAGTAGCGAATAACTCTAACAACAACCAAGTTGTAGCGAGAAGTCTAAGTATCTAAACGTGATAAAACCAAACAGCGCAATTATATTGTATAATGAAGTTTCAGATAAGCACCGCGATAACCAA